AGTTCCAGCTGTCTCCAGGGAGTCCCCCATTTTCAGTGACCTTTAATTCCGTAAGGTAGTATAAACATGTTCTCCCTCTCTCTTTCTAGGTCTAGAGGTAAAAGGAGTTCCTTGATGTTGCTAACCTCTGGATTGCCACACTCTCTCCTATTTGATCTCTTAGGTCTTCCAACATTCATTTAACTAGTTGTATTTAAAGTGCCTGTTGAAATAACACATTAATTTGTGGTTTTCTGTTGGAAACTTACTGATACAGATATTAAACTGATATCTAATGCTATGTCTTACTATTACATGAATTACTAATGTGAAAATATGCTGATACATGATATGGTATACATTTAATATTCCTGTTTACTAATAAAAGTACAGGATAGAAGATTGAGGAAAAGAATCAGCAATTGAATAGAGACAGAAAAGGCCACATGACTTAAAAATCCTAAGATATGACATTCCACTGATAGAAATAAATTTCCCCAATATTAGCGCCCAGCCAAACTTCTTTAGAAGTAATGTAAGAGTCATATTTAAAAAAAGGTCTGATTTTCAACATAATTGACCCATTCATCCATTTTCAAATACATACTGATTACAAATTGTACCAGGTACTGTTTTCTGCTTCTAGAAAAAAAGAGTTTATAAGACAAACTATTTGTCATGAAGGACATCATATTAGTGATGGAAATGCACAATGAGCAGGTAAGTTTTATGATAAGAAAGATCTTATTAATGTAGCAGAGTTTGTAGAAAAGGCTTCTAAAGCAGTTGAAATAAAAACAAAATAAATTCTTAGTTGAGATGTTATCTAAATGGAGCATGAGTATACAGTAAAGAGGGGAAAGTAAGGTAAATAAATCACCCAAAGTAAACTAACAACATACACAAAGGTAAAAGGATCATATGCAAAAATCCAAATTCTCCATGTTGATTGGGTAACTTTGTCAGTGCATTTTAAGTGTTTATTTAACATCAGTGTGTGTCCTTGTATGTGCATGTGATGTTTGAGCATGGGGCATACAAAATAGGATAAATATATACATGTATCTGTGCATGTGTATCAGAGAGTTTTTATCCTCCTATAATATTTTGCATGATTATATATACAAAAATTCAAGTTTTATGTCAATTTTGCATATTTGACCATGTACTAAGGTGTGTACTTATGTATATTAGTAAGCATGGATATGGAAATTGCTCATGAGAAATGCAGAACAAATAACACAAGAAATAAAACCCTCTTACACTAATTAGAATACAATGATGTCTAAAAGGGCAGAGAATATGACACTTAGGAGATTTAAAGATGTGGTTTCTTGATCACTGTAATTACTCTGTGATTAAGTATAATTATTCAATTATCTGTTTCCAACATAAACAGAAAGGTAAATAGAATGTAAACAGAAAGGTAAACTGAATAAAAATTTCATTATTAAAAACTCCAGCTTTACATAGAGATTGACAATATCAAACAATTGAAAGTTGGAGGTCTATGTACTACATACATATTAATTATGAGTAGCCACAACTATTACAACCTGCTAGATAATAAGAATTATCTCAAGGGGTAGAACTTTTTACTAGCAGGCACAAGGCCCTTAGTTCAATCTCCAGATTATAAAACGTCACTATAATTTTTCAACAGTCCTAATTGATTTATTTTATAAGAGTAGCAGTGATTTTGTGCATAGATAACACTTGTTTATTTTCCTTAGTGGGTTATGAGTGACAACTCAAAATTATGCTAAAAAAATTGCAGTTGCTATTAGATTATAGCAACTGCCACACAAAAGATGGAATGAAGTTAGCTCTTTTGGGTGGACACGTATGAGAAATACTTAGAGAAAGAGGTTAAGGGTTAATAAAATGGAAGAAGACAAAAGAAGAATATGTCTTCTAAAACCTATTTCTTTGATCAGTTTGAGGATGCAGGGTACTTCCAAAGGGCTATGGGTACAAGAATTTGAAGCAAGTGCTACAACAGGTCTGTGCTCAAGGGCAGTTCCAAACGAAGCGTTTTCTAGACATTTTCTCTTCTGTCAATAGATTCTCTTCTTTTCATTCACTGGACATGGAAATTAGCTATGGAATGTGAATCAGAATTAGAAAGGTTAAAGATTATAACTCTGTTGAGCATTGAATCAGATGTTACAAAGAATCATTTTTCTGTTAAGCTAGGGTACATATGGAAGAAGTCATAGCTGCTCTTAGTCACCAATTTTCTACAGTTTAGATGGGGGCCATGCTTTCATAGCTTTTTTAATGGGCTTTTAGTTTTGGCAGTATTGGGGTTTGAACTCAGGGCCTTGTGAGCTATTCTACTGCTTGAGTCACACCTCCAGCCCTTTATAGCACATTTAAATGAAAAAAAAAAAAGAGAGATCCAAATTTATCATGACTGTTACTTCATTGCTTTTGAGTCATATCAATAATATATTCACTATGAGAGCAAAATGTGTTTAATCTTATTATATAGGCAAACATCTGTGACCAATATCTTCTACCCATTAATGTGAGAAAATACTCACACTGGGTGTTAGAGAAGATGAATTAATATGTTCAATGAGATTGTAAAATGAGATTCAGTGGGAATGAGGTGACTTGTGTCTCATCTACACTGGATACATTCCTTTGGCTGGGTTTAATCCCTCCTCATATCTAATCTGGCAGAGGTGGTCTTTACTAACTTACAGTATTCTACACAGTACCGTTGCTGTGGCCTGAGGTACTTTGGTCTCATACATTTCAAACAAGGGCAAACATCCAGTGGCAGGCAGAGGATTTTATTTTTACTTTTTTTTCTGGATTTATATTGTCCTCATATTTAGACCTCGAGGAAGCTTATTTCTTTGTTTCTGAATGATATTAATGTTTATAAAAAACCACAGGTAAGTAAATATCCTGTGTGTGTATTTGCAGGCATACCCTAACACACAAAGATTTAAACCCAATATGTTAGATCTGAGTTTCTGATATTAGAAAAGAAATTATTTCTGACTACTTAATATAGTAAGAGACTTTATCTATGCATATTTGAAAAGACTTAGCATAAAATATAAATAATAATTGTTAAGGTGCTAGAATATGCTTTGTCAGGACATAACAGAGTACCTGTGGGCTCTCAGTCTTAAGAGGGGTTGATACAGATACATGAAAAAGGAGTCTGACTTCAATACAGAGGTACAAAGAAAAGCCTTTGAGTCAAATCCAGAAGGATTAATTTTAAAAGCAAAGGTCCATGAAATAGAAAGAAGAGGTAACTTTCACCACAGCAAAGTATCTCATTTATACTCATTAGTGGATACTAATGCTCAGCTTCCACATGGTGTATAACACAGTTCTCCCTCCTGACTCAGGGACATTTAAACTATATGTTAGGGGATGGACTCTACTGACATTGGAACCTTCCTCACAGCAATATTAGGTCATCATTTTAATGGTCTACTTTCCCAATCATTCCTTATATATTTTTAAAAGCAAACCCTTATTGAACCTAATCACACAATACATTTTTTAAACACTGGGAAATTTTAGTGAATGAAATGGAAGCTTTTGGGGCCTCAGGATGGTCATATCTAATAGAGGATACCAACACAAATGAATAAACAAATGAATGCATACAATGTTGACATTATATGCCAAGAAGAAAATGCACACAATGATATGGTAGCAGGTGACTACAGAAAAGTAATATGGGGTAGATGTGGTAAGAAAAGTTTCATTTGAACATTTGAAGGTACTTAATGAGAATGTAGAACCAGTCATAGTAATAGGGAGAAACAAATTCCTAGCTAGAAGAAAGAAGATCAAATGCTAAACTGGAATAATGAAAAAGAGCACATAATTAATTTAATTATAGATGAAGACATTATAAGACCAGAGAAAAATATATTAAGGGATAATGAGGGGAATAAAACTTGTAGAGATGGGGTCAGGCATTTTATTTGGGTATTGTAGATGAAAGTTGGGAGAGCATTTAAGTCCATGATGTAGAAACCAATGAAGATTAATATACCTAACTCCAGCATGATCTCTAATCTATTTACCATCTACAGCCAGGCTAATTTTCCTAAACTCCCTGTCCATCATTTTGTACTCTTGTCTATAAATACAGGTTAACTTTCAGTCATACATGAATCTATCTTCACAACTGATCTATACACATCCGTCTCACTTTCTTTGGATCACACACAATGCTGATCTGTTGCTTAGACATGGCATACTGTTGCTGGCTTATTATCATCTTCTAGTTGGTTTCCCCTCATAAATATTTCAACCTCTTCCAGAAGCTCCTAATAAAGTCTCTTCCTTGACATGTTGCAGTTAATCTTCACCCTGGTAAATTATCTCTCCTGAAGATATGAGGCCAACTTAACCTTCCTAAGGCACATTTCAACAACTGAAGTTCATCAGCAAAGCAAGGGCTAGTTCTCTGGAGTTGACTTGAGAGAGCTATCTCTTTTTCTAGGGGCCAAATACCTTCTAGCCTTAGAAAGTCCATGAAAAGTCAGGTGCTTTTGAAAATTGTCTTGCACTAAATAGAATGGAATTGCAACCCCTGCATCAACCATAATCTCCTAAGGTCTGGAATAACTTATTTACACTGATCTTCCCCTACCAATGTTATTCACCTTCCAACCATCCTTGAATCTGCTTCTGAGGGTCCTTGACTCTTTTCCTTCCCAAGAGAACTCTTCTGCAACTTGTGTTTTTCCTTGAATAATCCCAATAATCTTGCCTTGTTCTTTCATTTTCTCATCAAAATTCACATCTCATGCAAAAATAAATTGGGAACCCCCCCTTACACATACATACACCTATACACATGCGCACACAGACATACCCCTTAACATAAAATCTTTGGGCATATGTACCTGAAATTACATGGCAAAAAGAAGAACCAAAGACCATATAATTACTTAGCAGAGTACTCTTTTATTATTTGCCTTATTATTTGAAGAATGTAGACTCTCCTCGGAAGTTCTGCACTGTGGAAAGGGGGCTCAGTGATACTTGTGGACCAGAGCACTGGCCACTCCAGCCACCATCTTCTGCCAGGCAGCCTGCACCTGGGGTGTGAATTCCTTGCCAAAATGTTTCGCCAGGACAATCACTAGTGTATTTCCCAGGAGCTGTGAAGTAGAAGGAGACAATAGTTATAAACACATAGAGAGCAGATATATTTAGACTGGTGTCTAGTTATCTGAATACCCACCTCTTACTCAGAGCCAAGCCTATGTCAACTTCCCTCAAAGCCCAGAGTTTTACTGATTAATAAACATGGGTAGTTTATTCCAACTGCAAGATTTAAGTCATGATTTCAATCTTTAAATTTAAACTTTAGTGTCTTTGTTATCATCAGCAGCCCCACATTTCATGTACCGCCTGTCTCCTGAAATTACAGGATATAAGTTTGGAATTAGAAACACTTTGAACTGGTGTCCAGCCAACATAGGAACAGAGTCAACAGCATATGTTGGCCACCTAGGTTTCTTCCTTTTATTGAGTCAATATGTGCCTGCCTTTCCATGGTCATGCTTTTTTGCCTCTAGCAGGGCAGAAAAAAAAGAATGGTATTCTTTCTGTAAAACCTTTTCTTATTGAAAAGCATTTCTTCTGCAAGACGTTAATTAACAAAAATCATATTCCTCATATGTACACAAATTTCCAAAAAAAACAGGGTACAGACAAGTCCCTCCAGATTTGTAGGGGCATCTCTTATACCAAAGTACATTACCACTTGGTATCAACTCAGTCCTCTGGAGTTGCTGTACTCCCAAACTCAATACTTTCAAATATCTCACACCCTGCAAGTGACCTCAGTTATTCTCCGATCAGTGCTTAGTTACCTAAGTTGCCCCAATGCTAAAAGTAAGAGGGTTTGATCATCAATTGGACTCACCCTGAAGTTTTCAGGATCCACATGCAGCCTGTCACAATGCAACTCACTCAACTGGGAAAAGGTGCCCTTTCAGGTCATCCATGTTCTTTATGGCTTCTTCCAAAGAAGTCAGCACCTTCTTGCCATGAGTCTTGACTTTGGGGTTGCCCATGATGGCAGAGGGAGAGGACAGGTTTCCAAATTTGTCAAAGAACCTCTGGGTCCATGGGTAAACAATGAGGAGCCTATGTGATGGAATATTAGTAGTTAGAAAGCCAGAATGTGATGCTAGTCACAAGAACAGGCTTAAGCGATCTTCTGTGTTGCCTAGATTTTCCTCTAGAATTCTACATGCTGAGAAGAAGGACCTTACAAGGCCTCTCACCTTAAGGTGGAAAATGGCGAAACAGCCAACAGACACATCAGACTTTCCTACATATAGTTCAGGAAATAAATGTTACAAAACAAGCACATTTTTGTGAATAAAGACTGGTTTTCTAAATTTTCTGGGTTTCTTTCACTGCATCTCTCTTTTCCATAGGCATGTGCTCTTAGAACTAAAAGGGCTAAGAACTGTAGGCCCAGATGGTGGACTATAAACTTTAGCAGTGTTTGACACATAAGGCAAAAAAAAAAAAGAACAGGCTTAAGTTTCTGCCAGGCACAGTTTTCTCCCTTTGCTCCCTAATCCCCAGAGCCTACCTTCCCAGGGTTTCTGCTCCGGCCTCTTCCACATTTACATCTTTCCATATGCTTGTAATAGCAGCCTTATCCTCAGCTGTGAACTGAACCATGGTTTCCGGTCTAGGAGCTTGTTGATTATCTCAGATGTTTCAAGAGGAAAGTATGTGCAGATGCTAGAATTCATGTCCTTTTATTCTTCATCCTGGACCCTCTGGCCCTTTGCCTTGCCTGATAATCTGAGACTATTGGTCAAGGCAAGCTGGTCAAGCCAAGGGTGGGGTCTGGATAGAGAAGGGTTTCCACAGACATTTGCATTAAGATAGTGTCAGGGAGGCCCCCTCAAGGAGACCCTGCTGCTGAAGTTTTTTTTTTATAGCCCTTCCCCTCCTTCAAGTCCATTCTATATTTTTCTTTCATTCGATCTTCCCTTCAGCTAATTTTCTTCTCCTCCCACTAGAGTCTACTTGAAGATTTCTCATCTAGCATTTTCTACATTTTTACTCTAACCTCACAGGTGCCTATAGATTAAAATTAAATCATAGGGAAGTATTTGAACATTTCAAGGATTATAAGAGTCTTTTGTAGGTATGGATTCAGCATCTCTATCTTTGAATACATTCTCTATAGGTTTAGGCCATGGTCTTCCTATCTCACAACAGTATGGTAAAATCTAAAACATCAGGTTTAGTATGTGAACACATTAGTGTTATCTGATATAATGTAGGTCTGAACCCTTATCTCATTGTACCTGCTTGAAATAGAGCACATCTACTTTGAGAAAAAGTATTTTCCTCCATGTCAATATACTCACATAGCCACCAGAGAATGTGTATTCCCATTGAAAAAATGTGTTTTGGTTGGTGATCCAGAGTTTTAGTCTAGTCTTCTCTGCTCAGTGAAGACAGGTAGAAGTTTCCTTGGTAGGTGCTGTGAACTTGAATGATTCTTCATTCAAATAACTTTAGCCAGTATTATTCCAAGACATAATATCAGGAAGCACCTTCTTTGCTTTCTCTTGTGTGTTTGTCAAATAATTTTAAAGAGGAAGTTGTTTATATTGATTAATAATCCACACACACTACCACAGCAGGGACAAAACTGCATGTTAGACCCTTCATCTCGAGTTCAGTTCTGCTTTCATATATCAACATGGCAGGAAGAAGTCACTTTGCTAGATTGTGATGCCTAAAGTTTTCGTTATTTGGCTGCATTATTTTTCTTTATGGCCAGAAGTAATGATTGTATAAAAAGGCACATGAAGGTAACTATGCCTTTGATTAAAGGAAAGATTTATTTTCAAGTCAGTTTATCGCTAACATCTCATGCTGATTGAAGTTAATAATATAGATGAATTCCTTTCAATCATTATGATATCATACAAAGCTTACATCTTTTCATAAATGTGGAAATGCTAAAAGTCCAAGAAGATGATATTTGTTAAGATATAAATAGTAGTTATTCACTTTATTCTTAATAGTTTAGGACAGAGATTTTTGTTGGTATACTGATATAGAGAATAGAACCTGAGAAGAATCCAGGTTAGATTCTCTTCAAGGTAGGTCTGTGAGATGGATGCACTGTACATAGAACTTTTTCCATATCTAAGAATCCTATTGGGTTCAGTTTGTAGGGGCTGGCCTTGTAAGCTAACTCCTATATGGTGTTAAAGCCTCTGAAGACTTTAACCAGTGAGTCTTAATTGCCCCTTCCCAGACTGAGAATGTTTATGATCGTGTATGTCTGTAAACAACTTTACTTTTCCAGAATCCTAAACAGTGATCCAAAAGTCATCTGTACTCACTGCTTCCTTCTTATGCCATTGAGACAATATCTTTCCATGTTTTTTAATTTCCCCATTGCTGTTTTCCCTCCCATGCCATTGCTTCTGGTGTTGCCTGACTCTTCCCCTCTAATGCTCTTTCCTTACAACAGCAATCCCATGTGTTTTCAAGCATTCATTCAGCAATTTGTTGAGTAGATGTGTCATAACTGTAAGTCTTGAGGGTTTAGAATAATTGAGTTATAAAATATTTTTCTGAAGGCTTATAATTTAGGAGATAGAAGATGCAGAAAAATGGATAAATAAACCAATCAGCCAAATAATTTCAGATTTTTTTAACTAAGAAGAAAATTAATTTCTGAACTTGGAAAGGGTTTGGCATTACTATATCAGGAAAAAAAATCTCTTTAAGGAGGAAGTATGTTAGGATAGGTAAGGCACCTAAAAAACTAGCTAGCATTTGTTGCCCTTAACGCAGAGAAATTAAAGCAGATACCATAAAAGCAACTGAGGCCAATAGGAAAAGGGGACCAGGAACTAGAGAAAAGGTTAGATCAAAAAGAATTAACCTAGAAGGTAACACCCATGTACAGGAAATCAATGTGAGTCAATGCCCTGTATAGCTATCCTTATCTCAATCAGCAAAAACCTTTGTTCCTTCCTATTATAGCTTATACCCTCTCTACAACAAAATTAGAAATAAGGGCAAAATATTTTCTGCTGGGTATTGAGGGGGTGGGGGGGAGAGGGAGGGGGCGGAGTGGGTGGTAAGGGAGGGGGTGGGGGCAGGGGGAAGAAATGACCCAAGCCTTGTATGCACATATGAATAATAAAAGAAAAATAAATAAATAAATAAATAAATCAGGAAAAAAAAGGAGGAAGTATGTTAGCTGGGGCCAGAATAATAAGTAACCTGCTATGGTAAGATATTGCAGAAAAAGTTTAGAAGTTGGAATAACAAATTCAAAGCTCTGAAGCAGAAGAAAACAGGCACCTGTGATTTACTAGAGAAGTAAATAATGGACTAGTGAGATTCATATGAAAATGGAAAAATAAAGAATGATAAGAGATATTGCAGAGGAAGTACAGTTCTCATTACGTAAAACTTGTCTTCAGTGGTAGAAAGTGAGAAGTCATAAAATTTTATTTTAGCAATGACAATTGCCAAACAGTCTGTAGTTGTAGCTAGATTGGTATTTCAATAATATCCTGTTTATCACAACACTTTTTTATTCAGGTAGCTTATATAGACTGTCAACAATAACTAGTTCTTCTTTATCTATTAAAATTTTTGAGTCATCCAGACTTGTATGTGTGTGTGTGTGTGTGTGTGTACTGAATTTGCTTTTAAAGATATTATCTTAGAGTAGTGATATCTAGATCTAAATGTTATCCTAAAGCGTAGAGAGTGTTTCCTCTCTCCATGTCTCCATCATCACCATCCTCAACCCCTGCCATCCAAAGTCAGATACTAATTTGAGGCAAGAATAAGAAATAGAAGCCGGGTTAGTAGTTTAGGCCTATAATCCCAGCCTTAGGGAGGTTATGGCAAAAGGAACATGAGTTCAAAGCAAGCTTGTAAGTATAGTAAGATCCTGTATAAAAAAAAGAGAAAATAGCTAAAAATACATATTTTTCCATTCATTGACAGACTATGAAAAAATTTAGAGCCATGAATAACACCTGTTTATTCTGCTGAGGGGCATATTGAAAGGCTATAGTCTCTAAAAGAGCAGTGATTTTGATAGCTTGAAACCATAATAATCATAGATTTCTCATCCTTGTTGTGGAAACAAAAAGACAAATTAAAATGTCAAAGTACAAATTCTGATCAATGTATGAAGACAATTAAATGACCAGAGAGTTGTATTTGCCAAGATACAGTGCATTAACTTGTAAAGTTTAACATTCTCAAGACTTACTATGAAAGTTTGACTCAGGGCTTGAAGCTTACAACTCCCTGAGCAACCTAGCACTCCCTCAAGAGTGCCTCAGTGAAAACCATGCCTGTGTGAGGGTCCGCAGGTCAGCATATGGGCTCACCTTATTATACTTACTCTGGCTGGGTGCTTTCAGTCATCTACCATTCCTTCTTTTTTTTTTTCTCATTCACTCTAATAAGCAAAATAATATGACTTCCTGATTCTGCCTTTGCTCATCTTTCACTTTTTGCAGACTTCACTACTTCTCTTGGGCTTAAATGATTATGTCTATTCATTGAATTATCATCTATGGCCAATTTCTGCAAATCTGAATCCATTTTGCCTGCATAAGGAAATTACTTTTCCTAATAATCTTATTTCTTGAGTCACTCATTCCAAAAATATTTATTGTCAACCATTTCCAGTAGTAGAGTAATAACATATTTTTATACTCAATAAGGCATTATCTGTCTTTGCTAGTACTATAAGTATACTCTCCCTCTACTTTCAGAGAAACCTTTTCATACAAGCCACCAAGACCATAGCTCTTTCATTTCAGACTATGAGTCATTTTAGTATTCATGAAGTCTTCTCTTATGTGAAGTCTTCATCATTCCCCACCTGCAAAATCCTTACTTATATCCTAACTTTAACTTTATTTTGGTGCATGTTATAGTCTGACAAAAATTGATATACAATGCTGCATGTCTTACCCTTGGTTCCACATTGAATCAGTGAGATTCTTTGTTGATTCAGTGGGCTATCATTGATTCATGGGACTATTTTCTAGAAAGCTCCAAGATATCATTCAACTCATCTCCTTATCATAAAGTCAATCTTACAAGATATATGAAGAGCTAGTGAACTTGTTGCTTCAGTATGTACATCCAAGTAAATTAACATAGTATCCTAGCCTAGACCTTGGAACCCTACAAAGCTTTCATTTTTTTGTTTTTAAATGAAATTTGGCATATACCACAGTTCTGTTTTTTCAAGTACCACTTATCACCTCCTTCTTACCCTCTGCAGTAAGTTTTTGACACAATGCTGCACAAGTTCCTGCCCATTTAACTAACACTTTCTCCTTCTCCATAAAAGCATCCCATTTTGTCATCCTCTGTGGGCCACAAGAACCCTCCCACAGCATCCTCTTGTCTCTGATGAATCCTTCTTTGAGAAAATCTCTTTTCTTTTCTTTTGTCTCTCTCCACCCCTACACCCATGAACCCTTTTCCCATTAACACAAATGATGGAAAAGACAAAATATCTAATTTTGATAACTGAAGAGAATGAACTTTATTAAACAGAAGCTGAGCTCTCAAATTCGAGTCCAGCTCCCATGTAAAGGAGGAAGGGTTGAGGGATACATGGGAGCCTGGTGAACTGGAAAGAAGGCTCAGTGGTACTTGTGGGCCAGGGCAGTGGCAACACCAGACACCAGCTTCTGCCAGGCAGCCTGAACATCAGGGGTAAATTCCTTGCCAAAGTGAGTAGCCAGAACAATCACCAGCACATTACCCAGGAGCTGTTAAAAGAAATACAAAATGACGCATAGACATGTTAAGTAGAGGTTTCCAATGAAAAATTGCAAGAAAAAAATGGCTTTGTATCTATACTTCCTGACAATGCCAGCCTTAAACTATATATTTAATCATCTCAGATAAGCAAAGGTTGAACTTCATTTTTAGGAGCTTCTCTCATTCAACATTTTGCCTGTATATGGCCTCACCTACTCTCATTTCACAATTTTATTTGCTTGGCTTCTTCCCTTTCTCATTCACCAATTGTTAAATTTCTCTAAACATAAGATTGCAATGCTACAAGGATTCTCTTGGTGGGAGTTAGTCTCCAATCAATGGAGGAACACATCTCCACTTCTCACAATACTGATTGAGAATTGAATACATTTTAGAGTTTGTCATATTTTATTTGAAAAACTCTACTTTAAATTTTCCCCAAATATTTTTCCAAACTTCAACCATTAGGACCCATACAAAATAAACTATTTTTATTTCCTTGAGGCTAGTCATGGTCTACCTAAAGCAAATTCCACTTTTATGTACAAATCTGCTATTCTCTAACATTATTATCTAGAAATAAAAACATCCAAAATTCTTTTGTGGCAAAATTTTCTGAATATTTATAACAGAATTCCAACTTCTAATAGCCCTTTGTTATTATTATCTCTGAATCAAGTTGGTCCTGGATATACTGGAGGCCTGTCTTTTTAATGCTAAGTTGGACCGATGATTTCTGAGATCTGTATTGACATTTCCAGTCATAGTCTAAGCTTTCATTATTGTCCCCAAGTGAAAATCAAAAAGAGAAGAAAAATCACATGAACTTCTCTTGAACTCACCTTGAAGTTCTCAGGATCCACATGCAGCTTGTCACAGTGCAGCTCACTCAGCTTAGCAAAGGCTCCCTTGAGGTTGTCCATGTTCTTAATGGCTTCTCCAAAAGAAGTCAGCACCTTCTTGCCATGGGCCTTGACCTTTGGGTTGCCCATGATGGCAGAGGCAGAGGACATGTTGCCAAAGCTGTCAAAGAACCTCTGGGTCCAAGGGTAAACAACAAGGAGCCTATGAGATGGATAGCAACAAACAGAAAATCAGAGACACTCAAAAGTCTTGAGGATATTTACAGCCAATTTGCAGGGGTCATATTCACCTTTCTCTCCAGTGCATTAAGAAACAATGCTTACCTTCCCAAGGCTTCACCTCCAGCCTCATCCACATTCACTTTGCCCCACAGTCCATTGACAAGAGCCTTTTCCTCAGAAGTAAAATGCACCATGATGTCAGGTCTAGGAGCTTGCTGGTGATCACGATCACGGGAATGTCAAAAGCAGGTATGTATTACTGCTAGAAGTCGTGGCCTTTTTATTCTTCACTGCTGAGGTCCTGATCCCTTGTTCTCCGTGGCACTTCAAAGTCATTGGTCAAGCTGAACAGTGTCCCTCGTGGGTGGAGTCAGGTCAAGGGAGGGTCAGCTGTGTAGAATGTACACTGAGCTTAAGATAATGTATGCTGGATCCTGAGACATCATTACTGTTTTCAATTGTTCACTTCTTCCTAACAACACAATTATTCACTTATTCCCCTGACTTTGTACTCTCTTCTCTTCCAAGATAATGTCCATCTCTTTCATCCCCCTTTTCCAAGAAAAACTGGTAAGCAGGAACTAAGCCCAAGATAGAAAAAAAAGTACTACTTCAAAAAGACTTAACATTTGAGTGAAAGATGGTGTGGTTATAAGTACAAGGTCAAGAAAAAAAGAGCTCAAATAACTGAGACATAATTTCATCCAGTTCTCATTCTCTTGAGAAGTAGCTTGTAATTAAACCTTCTGGATCTTAGTTTTCCCAGGGAGACAAAATAATGTATAGTTACTTCTAGAATCTGAACACAGTAGCAAGAGAACCACAATGGGACTAAATCCTCAACTCTCAAGTACATTACTTTGGGATGATTTCCAAGAGAGAACAGAACAAGATCACATCTGTGCTTCCAAAAAATTCTTTCTTTTTCTTTTCTCTGTGACCACAGGGAAACTTGTCTCATTTGGGGGTATTTCCTTGGGCTCTCTTCTTCCTAGATGTCCTTATCTATGCTTCTAATCAATGAGATAGCAGAACTTGTGATCAAACAAGAGAACAGGCATTGATGTGTTAATCATGCTTAGAGTCAGGTATAGTTAGTGTTTGTCTTTGTCATCAGTACCAGAAGTTTAAATTTCTCTATTTTCTTTCTTTGATAGCCCTTTGGGGATCAAATGTTTGCTGCTTACATGTTGGAGCCAAAAGTGGAAGCCTACATTTTATGTCTTCAATTCTGTCCATATACATGATGGATATTCTCTGTTTAATTTTACTTAATCTATACCTAGTAATATTGTCATTATTCACTTTTTTAAATGAAGGTATAAGGTCACTGAAATTATACAACTCTCAAGATGATAAAATTAATGAGTGGGGACACAGGTTTGCACAAACTCCAGTTTTACTATTTCCAGAAAAGCTTCCTTGTATTATATTAATCTAGTGTCCTTGGCTCAGTTTGTGTTTCAGGTGCATTCTCCATCTTTTCCTATTTTTACCACTTCTATTGCTCTATTGGAAGTTTCTTTTATGATAGCTCACTTTTTAAATTCTGGTACCCTAGGTGCACAAGGCCATTTTATATGAGCAGCATGGCTTCTGTCTCTCAAGTTTCCTTATTCCAAGTTATAGAGATATTCTTTATAACACAGCACTGGCATTTATCATCATTTCTTATGCATATGACATAAATACTTCTAGCAGTGAGAATATTCCCCTGGTCTTTCCCCTGTGATTTTAAAAGTCTTTATCTGATTTAATGACTTTTCCCAAATTGGCATTATTCCAAGCCACTGAAACTCTACCCCAACTTTCTTTAAGCTTTTAAACAAGAGTATCTTTCTAGGCATATATACTAATGCTCAATGTAGATGGAACCAGGAAACCCTATCCTTATTTTTTAAATCATGGACTACTTTGAGAAACTATGATCTAATACATAATGTGCTTTAAATGTATAAAATGATGTAAATAAGTTTTCCAAGGAAGTCAAATATATTGAAATGTAGTTATCAAATATCATAACATCAGATTTTGGTGTATTATTGTAAGCACTTCTTTATAAATGCATTAGATCTCATAGTGGTTCCACAACTGCCATAATACCCAAGTATCGGCACAAATTAATGTTAAAGAAATCTGACATAACTACAGCATAAAATGAAAATATCTGTGATTTCTATCTATAATAAGGTAAGGCTGCTATTATGCTATTTTGTTGCTATATTCAGAATAGAAGAAAATGCTAAACTTCAGTTAAAGGTTAGTAAACATAAAGAAGGAAACTTTCCCCAAAGGAACTTCACCAACAAATACAGTTTTCTGCCCTGGCTTAGAATACACAGCCTAGGAAGAGAGAGAAAAGAAGAGAAGCATCTGGCTACTCTGGGAAGAAGAGCAGCTCTTGTGTGAAGAGTCAATGAAGATAAAGCTCTTGGTTTCAAAGGTAATTTTTTTTACAGAGCCACCTTGTGAAGGCAATAACTCTCCTGAGCACTTGGGCATTGGGGATCAGAGTCTGCCAAAGCCCATGGAATAAGGACCAGATTTCTCAAGTCTAAGAATTTAGGAAAGAGACTTCCCCCTGAAACAAATGACGTTGGTGCATCCCATCTTCTTCCCAGTTCAGTGTGAACACCAGTTTTCTCTTAGATTAACAGTATAACTTGTTCCTCCTTCTTCTCTGTGAAACTCAAACCCAACAGCAGGGCCCATATCTCTTCCACTCCTCATGGTCTATGGAACCAAACATGGTTTCCATCTATAGACCTGGCCATCCCATGCTCTCCTGTTGTTAAAAGCTGTTGGTGAAGGTACTGTGCTGAAAGCAACAAGTTTGTGGCTTAGTTCAAGAATGACGAATTCTGAGTCTGAAGTCAGACCAAAGTTAGCTTCTTGACTCAAGCTAACTGCCTCAATTGCCCCTGTTTAAACATTGTATTTTTTTTCTCCTGTAAACCGTGAGTAAATGATTTGTGCTTCCCTTTTCTGGAAGAAAAGCTCAAAGTCAATAAATGTAAGTGACATAGCTACCTAAAATAGATCAGAAAGATTAAATACCAAGGGAAATGAATTCATAAGAACATTCACTTAAGGCCTATGTATCTAAAATTAAATCAGATCAAAGCTTATCTGTCTTAAAAAAATTTAAATAAAAAAACTTTTAAAAAGAGAGTCCCAAATTAAATAAAGATTAAATACTGTATCTAAGGATTTCATGAAATATTTGAACTTTTCTAAGTTCTGTATTAGATTTTAAAGAAATGAAAGATGTTTTTTCCAATATTTTCTTAAATCTTTTTGTCTAATTTATGATGTAAATTGGTGTTTGGGAGGGGAGCCCCACTGTGTAACACAAGCTGACCTCAAACTCTTAATCCTCCTGCTTCACACTTCTGAGTTCTCAGATTACAGACAGGTGGCACCATGCCTGGCAACATATATCTAATCTAAGGAGTCAAGTATGGTATTGTCTTTAAGTGCTATTATTATGACAAATTATTTAAACTACATTGTTAGTAAGTGAAGTAGTTCCTTCATTGAGTATTTTTCAGAGTGCTGGCTGAGAACAATATTGCTTTAATAGTTTTTATCATAACTGATATATTTTATTTTTTATTTTAAAATTAAAAAAATTATGGAAAAAGATATAAACCACTGAGGAGGCAAAAACTACTTTAAATGATTTTTATACGGCTTCATTCTTTTTGTTAGCATATATTAACTCTGCAAAGTAAGGTGTTTCATTATGACATTTCCATATATGAATGTAAAGTACAGCAATCATAGTCATCCCCTCTGTGACCCTGTCTTATCCCTGCTCTCCTTTCCACCTCTTCCCCTTCTTTATCTCTAATGGTCCTCTTTAACCTTCATGTCCTTGTTTCCTACTTAGATTCCAAATATGAAAGAAAACACATTACACTCATCTTTGTGATAGCTGCCTGTTCTAACCTTATGATTTTCAATTCCATCTTAATTCCAATCTCATTCTTCTTCATGGTTGAATAAATCTCCATTGTACATATATACCACATTTTCTTTATTCATTTATCCATTGACGAGCACCTAGGCTGATTTCATAACTTGGCCATTGTGAATGGTGCAGGGAAAAATGTGTGTACATATCTCTATTGTATGCTGAATTTTATTCTTTTGGGCATATGATCAGAAGTAGTATAATTGAATGGTATGAAAGTTCTATTTCTAGTTTTTTAAGGACTTTCCATATTGATATCCATAGTGACTGAACTAGTTTACATTCCCACCAAGTGTAGGAATGTTCCTTTTACCCATGATTCCTCACCAACATTTATTACTTTTTGAACTTTTTTTTTCTTAATGATAGCCGTTATATGCTGAGCCCACATGTATCTACTACTAGAAAAGTGAAAAGACTATGATTGGATGATTTTTGAATTCCTCAAAAATATTTCTTACCTAGGCATCTATTTGCAGTATTTGGGGTACTCTGTATTGAAGCATAGCACAGCATAGCATATTTCCTGAATTATAAATATGTATCTCTGGGAAAAGACAAAATTGAGGTTTGGACAAGTAAGTAAGGCTTAAATGGAAGAAGCAATGGTAATTCTTAGATTTTGTCCATTACCAAATCATCTGCCAGTAGAAATTATGAAAAATCAAAACCTTTTATTTTGTGTTACAAAGGATGGGAATTATTGATGATACTTTCTCCCCAAAACTCATAGCCCAAAAGAACTAAAATCAAATCACCTCAACCTACAGTTTATTGAGTCTGAGGTATTTGTGAAAGGACCAATGTGCTGGTCAAGCTCTTCTCTGTGCCCAAGCCTCACTCAGGTCCCCATGTCACCAGTCTCTTATTGCTCCTATTTTCTTCCTTTGCTTTCTCCTCCTCTTCCTCCTTTTTACTGTTTTTCTCCTTCTCCTCCTTATACTTCTTTTTGTCTTGGTTCATTTATCTTTGTGGAGAGAGGGACTTAGAAGTTTATTTTATTTAGTTTTGCTTTTAATAAACAGAACCAGGCAGTTTAGGTGTTTTTCTTGTTCTGGAGATTTGGACTGGTGATAGCTGGGTGGGGTCAAAGACTGTGAGCATGGATAAGGGTTCAGGTCTACATAGATTTGTGGCTAGAAGGAGGCCTATCTAAATAGTAAAAGCCAGATGTTCCTGGTACTGCTTTTTATGTTCCCATTCTGGTTCCCTCACTAGTAGATAAAAGGAAGGGGTATGGGTTAATGTTTGAGGATCTGCCATGGTTAATTGCTCAGAAAT